AAGGAAAAACATCGGTTTTCTTATAAAATAGACTTTGTTTGTTGTGGTGATAAAAATAGTACCTGTTAATCTTTATTCTACCGCCAGACATACCATGGTGAAAGTGGTTTTTGTCCATTGTCTACAACAGTGTTGCTATAACAGGAATTGTAATTACTTCCTTCTTTAAGGAGAGGATCTTCTTAAAGGCAAAAATCTAAAATTGAACAGATTTTCTTTCATAGTTTCCAAATTCTGGTCATGTTCACTTAGCCCGCCCAACTGGACGACTAAATCACCCTTGAAGCTTGCTTGAACCGATATACCACTTAAGGTCACGACATTTCCGGCAAGCGGAAACTTCGGCAAATTTTGTTTTATCATCATTGCATTGAAAATCCCCACGATGCAAGATTTGGTGGGCGGAGCTACCATGGCGCGCGAGCTCACACAGATGACAGAACGCTTTGTTGAAATTTTTAACATTTTTCAATTACGTGTCTGGAGATAACTCTTCGTATCCAATGTCGGAAGAAGCTTTGCCAATGTCGGTACCTTTGAAGCTTTATTAAAATCTTTCGTTAACAGTGTTTTCTTTATTTTAAAGTGAATAGTTCTGGCAATCACCCCGATTTTGAACTAACCTTTACAATCACTATTGGAAAAGAAAGATTGCGAAAAAAAAATGAAGAAAGGGGGGAGGGGGGGGAAGGTATTCCCAAGCAATATTTCGAACTCACGCTGGGAGCTCTGTTTTAGAACTGAAATGTCACAATGTTCCGTCCGTTTTGTGTCTTCCTTTCTTTTGCTTTGTTAAAGTAATTCCCTGACAATGTGTCTCTTTTAGTTCCCTCAACAAAGCTTTTTTTTCTGAAAAACTTACTGAACAATCTTATGTTAAACGGTTCTGAACTGGGTCAAAAGCTTTCTTCGTATAAGTCATGACCATGATTCACAGAAGAGCCTTTTCCTGAGCACTACTGTGTATTCTAAGAGAATGCTGAAGCCACGAATGTGACTGCCATTACGTGATTATGGCCTAAAAATGATTAGTCTTGTATTTGTATCGTGGCTGTTGTTTATAATGGCTAACTTACCTCTTGCACAAATATTTTTCTTCTGAATTTTGAGCCATTTTCGTTTTGTGAGAATCTTTTACCAAACGGAAAGCGTGGTTGAATCCATTTTTTAAGGGATCAAAGGTCAATTTTTTACTGGCACCATCTGATGTTGTGCTCTGATGATTATAACATTTTAATCAGGAAAAAAGCGTTTCCCCTCCTGATAAAACTAAACACGTGTAATTCAGATTGTAAACGTATGTTAGCCAAAGGTAATTTGCGTGGAATGTGGCAAAAACTTTCCTGTCTTACTTCCTAACTTAATTCACTCCTCTGGACAGTCTCTTTTTGTGTTGTGATTTTGGATTTGCTCCAAAAGTTTCGTTTGTCTGCCAAAACAAACCACGTCCGGGAGATAACTGAGGGTGGGAGAGGGGGTGAGTGGGGGACTCCATACCCAGGGGGCTGGGAGTCTGTACTACCAACACATACGCTGCTTGTGCAACAATGAAAAATGCCTCTGTTACAGTAGAAAAATAACATGATAATTTTTCCTTTTTGTATTCGTAGACTGTGATGCCTGTCGTTCAAAGCAAGACGCATGTCCAGTGCACAAAGTTCCAAATTCTGGAAGGAAACTTCTTATTCCAGGACAGAAACAACCGGTCAAATTTAGTTACGCCATAGCGTCCTTTCCAGAGGAAGTGCAGCTCTGTGTGTCAAGTATTCCTGGGGCGGGTTGTGGAGTCTGCGCAAAGCAACATATTCCTGTGGGCACGTGGATTGGACCATATGAAGGAAAACTTGTTAAATATGATGACGTTAAACCCAATACAGACACCTCTTACATGTGGGAGGTAAGTCCCTTATTTTGAAACCAAAAGAAAGTCAAAATCGAAGTATCTGAGGGCGGATGTATTAGGAAAATGGAAACTGTACTTAATTTACTAAAATCTTGACTGAAACATAATTTCTTTGGACCCTTAGGACTGCTTCACCTGTGTGTGTGTGTTTTTTTTCTTGCAGCTAGACATGTGTTTTCTAGGTTACCCGAGTCATAACTACTTTATTTTTGCACCGACCATTTGCAGATTTACCAAGATGGCAAGCTCTCCCATTACTTGGATGCCAGCGACGAAAACACCTCGAGTTGGATGCGATTCATCCGATGCGCACGATATAGGGAAGAGCAGAACCTCTTCTCGTTTCAGTACTGCGGAAACATCTACTACCGGGCTTTCAGAGAGATATCCGTAGGGACGGAACTTCTCGTATGGTACGATGAAAAATATCCTCAGGATATGGGAATACCACTGGAAGTTCAAGATATGGCACTTGTGGACCCCAACGGTATGTCATAACAATGACGAAGCAACTTAGTTTAGGTAATTGAAAAAATATTGCTTTTAGGCTCTCAGTGTTTAAGAAACGAGCCATTGGTATGAAGTTCTAGGATCAGTGGTCGGCTTAGTGCTGTTCTTTTAAAATGAAAGATTTTCATATTTTCTAAGGGAAGTTAAAACTGTAAATGGCAAACAAAAATCATTCTTTACCTCGAAGAAGGTTTTCTTTATTTAATTGTTAGCTATTATTTGTCACAGTTGGGTTTTATCATTAAAAGCTCTTTTCGATAGTGCCCTCGAATGGGGCAGGAGTCCGATCCGCTTAAACGTAACTTAGCATTCAATCATTTGATCAGATTGCTTATCCACCTTTTGCTTATTAAATGCTATTCACGAACCTCGCCGTCCTTCTCTCTAGGTACCAGACTCCTTCAAGAGGTCTTAGCAGCACAAGGTCAAACGCAACCTTCAGATCGACCGATCAACACCAGGCAATTTTCTATGCCTGCAGTTTCAAGTCAGCCAACGGTTGTTTCAATTACTCCTACGAAGACATCTTCCCGAAAATCACCCCTCCCTGTTCCTCGTGACAACATGAAAGAGAGACCCTCGCCTACGTCTCCAAATGACACTCGTATTTCGTGGCACCACAAGGTTCCAAATCCTACTATTTCTCACAGCGCCATTCCCATAGGGAACAATTTCGTCCAGGCTGAGCGAACTCGAAAAGTGGAGCCGGTCGCTTTAAAAGAGGAAAGGGTTGTTATTGAGGATTGTGATGACGACAGAAGGTTCAATTTAGCTGAAGGATCAGAGATGAGCCTTATGAAATGCGGTCAATGTAGTCAGTCATTCGCGCAGAAGAACATGCTCCAGGTTCATGTATGCCCGCGTATGCCTAGGAGACCTTACACATGTAGCTACTGCTCTGAATCTTTCTCCTTACCTAACGAACTGCGCACGCATGTTGTCACTCACGCTAATGATAAGCCATTCAAGTGCGGCTATTGCTCGCGCACATTTGCTGGAGCGACAACGCTGAACAACCATATCAGGACACACACGGGAGAGCGACCATTTCTTTGTGATAAATGTGGCAAATCTTTCACACAGGCATCCCAGCTGAGCAAACATCAACGAATTCCTCACGAATGCAAGTACTAGGTCTGTAATTTGGTATCACTATTGTTTAGGAATTTCATCGCCTACAGGACACGTATTTTTATTTAGCCTTTTTTGACGACAGGATTTTTAATCTTTACACGATGAAAACTCTATATCAACATTTCTTGAAATCTTTAAAATCATATAATTTGATCCTTATTTACAGCGTAAGTCTTGAGGTGAATTATTGTGATGGCTCGCTTAAAATTTTGGCGCGTTTTGTAGCAATGTTTATCTTCAACAGGTGCTGGCAAGCGCAACTGTACAAAGCTTCAATTGTCCGAGAATGAGACATAATTTAAGCCGACGCGACTTCTTCACTAACTGATAGTTGAGTGTAATGTTTCTGTATCCGAAATTTGCTGGTTATGTTTTTTATTTGAAAAAAATCACCACAATGGTCACTTCATATTTTATTTGACCCGCAAGATATTTACTATCAAATTTCTTTTTTCATATCTGACATATGGTTTTCTTTACACCACGAAGAATTTTTTATTGCTAAGACGATGAACCTCGCATCAAGCGGGGAGTATAGAGAAATGTAAAAACAACATGTACATTGAAATGTGTAAATAAATAGATAAATAAATAAAACAAAAGACCCTATCCTAAAAACAATTTCTTCGTACTACCCTTCTATATTTCCAAGCTCTCCAGATATTTATTAGCTTCAGCTGAGCTCTTGGTCGGCAGAGGAAGCGGAAAAGCGGGCGAGTGAAAAATGGTAGGTTGTCCGAAGGAAAAGTTTCTTCCGTTTCCATTGATAGCGGGAGCCTGTTACAGGAAACCTTTCCACGCAACATGATTCTACTTACTTCCAAATACTAATGTGAAAAGTTCAAAAAGAGATTTTTCGCTGGGATAAGCATTGTAACATGTGAACTTTTGGAACCAGATTTAAGAGTCATGTGTCGCAGAGTAGGCAAGGGGGAGGAAATCTGCTCCCAGATTTTCCAATTCTTGGGAGCAACGTGACAATTTTCGATGACAATCATTACTCCTCAGCTCAAGGGTGATACTGAAAGCTTGAAATCAAACTTCTCTGAGTTACGTTCTTGCAAAGTTTCGTTTCAAGAGCAGTTTCTGCGGAAAATCGCAAACGAAAATGGGAAATCTTAATTAACGACATATGTTTTGTTGCTTTTGTTGTACGCTCCAAAATAGATCTGGTCTATCTCGAAGGAAATAACACCACAGTGGGGACACCACAAAGACAATTAACTCTTTCACTCCCAAGATCTGACTGTCAATTCTCTCCTCTAGCTGCTACGCATTTCCTCCTTTCCTAAGATAGCAGCTTCTGCCTGATAAGTAATAATAATCTCATTACCTGTTTGCTGATGTATGGATATCATAAAGAGAAGTTTCATGTTCATCACTTCTGGGAGTTAACGGGTTTAAGTTTGGAAATGCTCGTATCAAACGTCTAATAATCAACCATACGTACCACCAAGTTTTTGGTGAGTTTTATTTTTCAATTTTTACGTAGACCCTCGTTTTACAACATTTAAGTAATGGCAATTTAGTGCGATGCAGTGGTCTGAAATGCCACGTATTTCGTGATACAATCCCAAAGTCCCCGTTTATTTTAGTCACGAGATATTTTAAAGGGGGACTGGGTGAAACTTAATAGCTCTGGGGACGAGAAAGTATCTGATTTAGTAAAATGATCTGAATACAGATTTGAATTCTTGTGATGCATTTGAATTCTTAGAATTCACAAAATTTTCTTTATTTAACTTAAAATTCTCTCTTACGATTTACCTTCTTAATTTAACTTCAAATATAATCTACATTCGTCTCTTTTAACATAAAATTCGCTTGAAGTGTAATGAGTATGAAAACAAACGAAAAAGTAACAATAAATCTTGACTTCAGCGATTCAACAATAATGTGACAAACATAAGAAGAAAAGGAAGGAAGAAATAAGAGAAAGGAAAGGAGAGGAAAAGTGCAAGTGAAACTGTATGCGAAAGAAAACAAGCGCGTGTAAATGAACAGGGTGCCACTCGACACAGCACCATTTTTAATAACTTAAATTTCGTAATGACCAATAGACCAATCACAACCTAAGAGAGGTGGGGGAAGTGGCATCGCACATGACATATTGAGTAATTTTCACCCGCCGGCAGGTTGTCCCCCCCCCTTTATACCTCTACCCCTCCCCACCCCCTCTTTTCCATGAGCACCTAACGAGCTTCAATTATTACCAAAACAAAAAAACATCAACACGTCAGTAACTCTTGAGAGACTACATAACATTGCTGTTGGGAGACCGTAAATTTTCTTTTCTTAACAAAGTAACAATTGTGACCAAAAATAATTTTGAAATAAAAACTGCGTAATACTTTTGTTATGGTATTATTGACTGGTGACATGTCGCTTAAATTTCCAAACTGTGTTCCTGCCAATGTCTGCTACGTACACAGCACCATCTTGACTTGAAGTGACATCATGAGGTTGTGAAAAACCCTAAAATTACAAGTCGATTACGCAATAAGTACAAAACGTTTAGTTGAGTGAAAAAAAAAGTCTACCCAGCCGGAACTTCTTCCGGTTTCCTGAGCACTTAAAGATTAAAGTGAATACAAGTCCATCGCAAGTTATCCCCCGGCAATAAGACCGACCCAATCTTCACACAGTTGAAGTTATATTTTAGCGGAGCTCGCAAATCGTGCAAAGCGTAACACCATAGCTAAGAAAATTTGGTAAACCATCAAGCCCAGAAAATAACCGTCCAATCGGACATACACAATTCTACTTAGAAAATGCGTTTGCAGCTGTATTGCAGGCACATCCACACTGCCGCGTTACTCTTGTTCAGCAAACAACTAGGCACAATGCGTGCGCAAGATTTTAAGAAATTTCCAATCACAAAAGTAGCACGCGTAGGGGTTTACTCGGCTGAAATTTAATGTTCATGAAACTCCTCCTATGCTTCGCACTACATGCTTACCAAGGCTGGTTCCCAGTGCTGTAATACACTGCCTTTGTTCAAAATGAATGTGAAGCCCTGGGCTTCAGAGAAAGAAGGGCCGTTGACCACATGTAACACACCACCTGGAAAAATTTAAGATAGTTGTTTACATAGCTGCATGTCTTAAACAGTGTATATTAATTAATATCTTGTTAATATTTAATGGATGAAAGTAAATTCTATGTGCATACCTTGCTCAGGATGATAGTGTACGGCAAAAGCTCTTTCCCCAAATGCTTTGATTTCGCGAACGAGATGACCGTTAACAGAGTCAAACTGTAGCACTCGGCTGTTTTCTCTGTCGGCTACAAACAACCGACGGTTCTTCTCGTCCAGGGACAAGCTGTGAGGGATCTCAAAATTACTTGGAACTGAAAGAAAGGAGACCAAGGATCACTGATGTTTCCCTTTTATCCCATGAAAGCACTTGCAAGATATGTTCTTCAAGATCAAGTCTTTGAACTAGGTAAAGGTGAAAGGGAATCGATCAGATTTGAAATAATTTACGACTATTCATAACACGAAACATTTCAAACGCTTAAACACAAAGAGTGGACGTAAATGTAAAGAACTACCACTTGGACAATCGTTTAGAGGTCTTTAGATAAGAGTGTTGACCCACCAAGCCCTTGTAATTTTTCATTCGTTATCATCAAAAGTACTTTCTTGCCATCAGGGGAAAACTTTATGACCCGATTATTACAGTATCTGAAATGTAAGAAAAAACACGGAATCAGGAAATATTATATAGGAAACTGAACGACACTCTAACAACAAAAGCAACGCCAAGAGCAGACAATTCGAAACACCACAAGAACGTCATAGTTTACCCGTCAGAAACAAAGATATTCCCCTCTGAGTCGACAGCGACGTCGGTTGGTTTACAGAAATGATTTTCATCATTCCCCGGGACAAACTGTGTTCCTAGTGTCAGTGAGGCTCGCTTTTTCTCTCCCGGAGGAAACTTAAATACCTGTCAAAATTAACAGACATTCTAGGAAACCCATATGGGAAAAATTGAAGCGAGAATTGAAGACATATTTACGTAAAACAGTTCCACGGCCAAGAGTTTATTACCAACCTGATGCATGGCTACATCTGTTAACCAAATGTTGCCCTTTTGATCGATGGTCAGCCCATGAGGCATAAAGAACCTGGATAGGTGAAAACGAGAAGTTTAAGAAATGGGTGTAGATAAGAAGAATGGGTGTGGGAGGAAGGCAGGATGATAGAGGCTGGAGGGGACAGAGCGGAAAAGAGGGGGAGGGAATGAGGAATTACGGGAAGGCACGGTAGGAGAGAGAGAGAGGGCACCAGAATACAACGAGGGTAAACGGCAAACAGGAAGTAGGGAGCTAAAAATTAAAGGAGGAAATGAGAATTTTTGCAACTGGAAGGAGGAAGTGCAGGGAGTACGGAACTGAAGCGGGAGCATAAGCAGTTAAATGGGGAACGAGAAGGGAGGACTAGATGGTACGGACTTGGAGAAAGAGTGGGAGGTAGAGTGTGCGTCCATAACATATAGACCACCAGCAAAGTAAGACATTTACATTCTTTCTCCCCAGCTGTCAATAACTTCCCCTGTTTGTGGATCCAACTTCATCACAGTCGATTCTGGGATGGGATCACTTGTAGCGGAGAAGATATTGTGCTCATCGAACGAACTGCAACCAGAAAACACTTGTTAAAAAAGGTCTTTTAGTAGGATTTGAGGCACGGCTTGGAAAACAATGAAAAATGCGCCGAGTTATCTTTACGGCGCTTTCACCCTGTGCACCCTAACATCAGTATGCATATTCTCCATACTGTTCTCTGTACATTTCTTTCGATTTCTTAAGGGGCTGACAAGGAGAATTTGTTTTAACGATCGAGACCTTCTTTAGTGGGTGGTCATTTCCTTTATTCTCGTGATCCTAATGTTTGATTCCGGGATGATATTGTAAGGAGAAATTAGATACTATTCATTCCTAGGAGTTAAAGGGTAAAACCAGACGTGATGCAGACACTTACTCAGCTTGCCATTTTCTTGATGCTCGATGGAATATGAGCACTTTTCCTTCCGAATCAATGTCGACGGCAGTAACTTGACCAAGTTTACTCGACCGTCTCATAACGTCAGCCAGCTTATTTCCTTGCCAACTCTGATCTTCTTTAAGTAGCAAAGGCGAACTCTCTTCATCGCAATTCGGTGCGCAGAATCCTGAAATAAGTCACAATCAGACATGGTTTGATGCTACTCTGGTTTACAGATTTAATGAATGTAACCGAAGAAGTTACAATTCACAGACCCACAGTGTTATACGATTATACGATTAGCCACAGTGTTATACGATTAACGTTATAACCTTGAGCACCTTCATCGTTCAACACTAGCCGCGCGAAGCAAGATCTGGTGTCTCTCAAATATAGAAAAAATGGCAGAAATCACCAAAACCAATCCACATCCACCCCGGAAAGTTACAAAATACTATTTTTAAACATTCAGCATTAGATAGATAAGATTAAAATTATTGCTACCCGCTTCTCGAAAGACATACACTGATAAGAAGAAAAAGTGAGATCGCAAGATAATCTATAATCACCTAGTTTAAGGCACCCGTTACTACTCGCCATCTATGAAGAGGAGAGTTAAGCCCATCTTCACCTCCTTAACCTAATTAACAACGCAGACATTATTCTCAGGTAGTTTAGATCTAGTTGATCTCTTTGATTTTATCGTCTCATCATTCGGCCACCTTTGACTTTACAATCAGAATTAAAGTAATTTAACCAAGGACCAACCGTGTGAAAAGGGATTAACGGAGGGGGAAGGGGAGGAATTGCACAAGGGAGGGGGGGGGACTTGTCTCTGAGAGTACCAACACTTTCAGGTAAAGGATTGGGTAGAATGCAAATAGAAAAAAATGACAATTCTTGAATCTGGAAATGTTGATTGTGACGTTAACTGATACCTATTTCGCTAAATACATCATAGAAAACAAGGCAAGATGTGATAACAACATCATGATCACGAAAAAAAAAACAAAAAAAAAACAGAGATCTGCTGATCATGCTTTAAAAAATAACTTTATTCTTTATCGAGATGCAATTGAACTTCAAAAGAAGTTATAACAAGCCATTGGTGTCAAAAAGTTAAAACATAGTTTATTATTTTACTTTCACTGGGTTAAACATTTAAATAAATACACCGCGCTTAGTGTAGAAATATTTTGTCGGTTACTTTAACCGTGAAAATTATTGGCGTTTCTAATTGAATTCGTTGAACTCTTCTTATCTATTTTTTGGATGACATCTTTTATTAATATCTTCCACTGAAACATTTTTCCAACCAGTTCTGTCATCAGATCGCATCTTTCAACGCTTATCACTTTCATCAAAGCTGGCCTGCGATTAAAAGAAACGAAACAAAAAAAAATCAGCGCTTTGTTTGGCTCGACAACGAGAGGAATTTCGCGGTCAGAAAGATGAAAGTGATAGCAGCAGAGTCAAGCGCGCAGAAAAGATGAGATGAAACTGGAAAAAGAGGAAAGCGCCATCGAACCCTTCCGCATAGAACCCGAAACCACCCATGTAAAACCTGAAAGATTCCGAGAAAACTCGAGATAACCTGTAACCTACATTTCACCCAGACGATTCTAAGCCTTTTGAAAACGACTTGAAATCGAAACCCGTTAACAACCACAAAAATCCCGCATATGGCCAAACCCACTGCTAGAAGAGGCTTTATGAAAAAAAGAAAAAAAAAACCTGTATGTGACTGACTGATACTCCCAAGTTGAATTCAAGTGATCGTTTCCCATAAAACGATAGTTACAGTTTCATTGAATGAACCACCTACTTTCGCCCAGGTTTCTTTTCATCTCCATTTTTGGTCCACTGCCTGGTAACGGGACATCAGAGTCTGACGGGAAGTCGAGCTGTCTCTCGTCAATAATCTGACACATGTCTTCGACACTGACACCTCCCAAGTCATTCAGTTTTGGGTCATACCAGTACATCATGTAAAAATTACACATTTCGTCCTTCATAGTTGCTCTGCAAAAAAATGAGGCATAGCTAAAAAAATTAAGCTGTAACTTAAGTGAGAGAAACACAACTATGGTTTTGGAATACAGCTTAATGCGGCTAAGTGCCAAACTTTTCAAGTGAAAATGTGTTGCATTTGAAAAAGAATGAAATATCATTTTCATGTTAACGACATCGGCCCATAATTTCTCCCTTCTGGCTACTATTAATTTCCTTGTAGGGCAATTTTCAATCGAGTTGTGAAACAAATTAAGGATCACATTGGTTTTACTTTTGTAAGCTCTGTAATTGGTCCAGAGTACTCGCACCATCCTCTTAACCAATCAGATTTAAAAACCAAAGCCAGTCACACGCGTTTTCCCGCGCTTTAAGCGGTCTGCTTACTTTTACCTATAATTCTCATTTTCTCGTCGTGTTATTTTCCTTTCCTCTAATTGGCTGTTTGGTTTTACGACACTCAATCGAAATGCGCTCTAAGGTAACAGAATTTGCTGTTCTGTCAAGATTATGTTTGAAATTTATGTCGACTCTCGTCACCAGTTTGTAGGATAATGTATTGACATCGTAATAAGTTACATGTTTATGACTTCTGATAGTAAAATTGTAAACATACCCGATATATGTTACATGGTCTCTCTGGGTTGAATTGTAAGTGCATCGGGCAGCCTGGCGATTGAGAGTATTAAATATTGGATATCAGGGAAAATAAACTCGGCTTCTATTACAAGTTTCACGAGGAAAAAAACCCTGAGGCATGTGTCACCTACGAGACGCACAGGACTAAAACAGACATTTGTGAAACTAGAAAGAAAGTGCGCAATGAAAGAGATGGAAAGCAAGACAATTAATGGAGACACCACAATACGACAACGATGCTCGAAACCAAACTGGGAACACAACACTCCAGGGAAGAAGAAAAAGGTCAAGTTTTTATTACCATAGAATCCCCACTTTTTATATCCACATCTTTATCCAGTGGGTAAAACGCCTGAAAAATAATCAAAAAAATATATTAGGGCCAGAATACTCTAGGAAATGCCAAGAAACTTTGCACTACATCCTGTCAGTTGTTTACATGAATTCAACGCCTAGCGTAAAAGAATAATAAAAGAACAAGAATAAAAATCATTTCAATGAAGTGCCTAAAATCAAAACTGAAAATGTGTCATGCAAGAAAAAGGGTTGTCGTATCTATCAAGCTTTCATTTTTGGTTTTGGTTTAGTTGTTTTTGTGATGGTGGATGGTCACTAATCTCTGATTTGCAAAAAGGTGCTCAAATGTTACCCCACCTGCGGCCGCTGTGGATCTCCTTTCCCTATGAGAGTCCATTTTCCATCACGTATTCTGTAGCCGGTAATAACACTCCCTATAACGATTTCACAATGAAAAACATATAAATACTCTGTGAAGTAAACCTGCGTTCGTAAACAATTACCGCATCATTCTACAATTTGAGAACTCCGTAAAGTAAACAGTCTCACAATGACTTAAGTCAAGCTTACCAAGAGAATGGGCGTGGACCCGGAAAGCAAAAGGGTGTAGGTCGGGTCCATAGCGGTAACCACATCCAGTGTCTAAATGCCAGGCTAAATAAAAAATAAAGAGTAAATGTCAAAGACGCAGAGACGATGATTTACAACGCTTAAAAAATTAATGGAGTGGTCACCAATTGGTAGAATAAAGAAACTATACAAAGAAAAGGTACATGTCAACTAAAGATCGTCTGTGTATAACTTGCCAAATGCTTTAGTTGAAATCATTAACAGTTCAGCTCAGAATACTATTGAAAATAGTACATTTTCTAGCAATGACAACTATTCACTTGCAGGATTACTTCAGCCAACCGTGCCTGTCTTGTATGGCTTTGGTTACAGGGTTTATTGCGATGTGACTATATGAATTGGGAGCCCGAGATTGACAATAATTTCGTAAACGGTTACTGTACTTTATCAGTGCAACCTTCCAGTAAGTTAATTCTAATCGACCTTCTCGTTGGCTGATGTATAATGCCTAAACAACTTTGATGTCAGAAGTTAGGTAGCAGCAACAATCATTTTGTGTGATTGTGTAGCCTGATCGTCTGAGTGAGGGTAGTCATGAAAGGAATGATGTCGTGGGTAGTGATGATGTTTTGACAAACTAAGTGGAAGTCATCATCAGAGTCAAGTCAAGAGTTTGTTGTCAGTTAAGCGTACAGAGTACAGTTCGTGTAACAATCGTTTCAGTGGTTGTTTAGGCTTGTCAGGCGATGAACGGCAATATCAGTTGTTGTTGTTGTTGTTGTTTTTTTTTCATACAATGTAAATGCATGTGTTCAATTGGTCAAGTTGCATACACTCAAAAAGTTTGGATAATAAGATAAACAACATCAATCAACCTTTCTCATTTGCAGGAATAGTTCCACCAGAGGCTAAAAGAAATATCGCAGCCAAATGACTAGGTCTGTGATGAGGAGAGAAACAAAACTGTGAGAATGGAATTTAAAGATCAAAGAACAATTGGGCTTATTATCATAGATGTGTCAGCACATGAGGATTTTACCTCACTTTAGAACAAGTTTTGCCACAGAGATCTTGGAACAAAATGAAAAAAGAGGGGATTTCTGCCTGAGTGATGTCATGCATGGCTGAGATCAGGATCACTGTCAGGGTCAGGGAAGTTGTCACAGAAAATACTTGCATTTACATCAAGTGTTCCAGTGGATTTAAGATGAATTATGTTCAGTTGTGACTTCAATCAGCCCCAGTATGATTTATCATGCTATTTCACAGAACCAGTCATGATAGGAGGAGAAACTGTCCTTTCTTACAAATATAACAATGCCACATTCAAACAAATAGTAATAACAGCAAGAAAGCTAAGAACTACAAGCAAAATCACAAAAACTAACTAACTGGCTAACAGAGGAAAGATTATTTTAGACCAGAAGGACAAATTGCTTGCATTGCCCAAGACCATTGTTCAGCCATTATTCAGCCATTAACTAACATTAAAAAAAGATGCAGGCGATTTGAATGAGTGAATGGGTGAGTGTTTATCAGTTTTATTGTAGAGGAGATTGCAGGTCTCATTTTTGTCAGAAACAAAAAAAAAATCATTAAGATTGAAGTTAAGAATATCCTGCTAACACACAGCCAATCCATTCTGGCTGATAAGCTACGTTTAGGTTTCAGACTTCTTTGAAGGACAGTGTAATCACTAAAGGAAATGTGGATTTAACAGTAAAATCCTCTCTTATACCTGGAGTAACTAACTTCACATGGGAAAATTGAATGGAAAATTTGCCAGCAGGATGAAAACTCATTTATTAATTAAATACACACTACTGCAATTTAGATTTTAGGACCTTTTTTTATATGGTATAGTTAAATTATCTGTTCTTCATTTGAATGTACTTTTGAAAATTTGGCCTTTTAGTTTATGTTATGCTCAAACAACATTTACTCTCAGAAAACCATTTAGTCCATTCAGTCAAAGAAAAGAAGTGGGCATTAGGCAAGTTATACAATTGATGTTCAAGAAAAATGAAATCTTTACTTTGAAAACCTGAGTTTTACTGTCTGATTTAATCTCTGAAAATCAAAATTTATACTTTTAAGTTGTTAAGAATATTTTCTCTTAAACTGTCAGTTTAACTGATTTTATGCTATCATTCAGAATACATTGATAATGATGTACATGAAAAAATTACCTTCTTCTGATTGGCTAAAAAACAAGTGCATTCTCATGTAACACAAGTGCAAATTACAAAAAGCATGTGCAACCTTTCAAAATTTTGTCTATCCTGACTTTCTGTGATGTTTTTCATGTACATTATTAACAAGTAATAACATGATTTCTTTAGCAAGTTAGTGTTAATAAGCACTTGTAAATTTTTCACAGACCACCAATTGCACTTGCCCTACCGGCTTGTGCAATTTTGTTGTCTTTGAAAAATTAACTTGTGCTTATTAACTCCAAATTGCACTCAAAATCATACTATCAATTTAATTCATAATTTCAACCTTGTTTTTTGGGTGGGACAAGGGACCAACTAACAGCCAGGATCTTGATGCCAGCCTTGTACTGCGGCCTACATATAGCAGGAGGAGCAAGGGAATCTGTTTTATTTGTGACTTGTTCCTTACAAGACACAGTGGCAAAAAAGTGAACAAAAGGAAAGAGGGAAGGAAGCCAGTGTGGAGAAAAGTGGTAGAAACTAAAATGGGAGGATGATGTACACTGTGAGAAAGACAAGGGGGTAAGTGAGAAAAAGGGAGAGAAGGAGGGAGGGCCAAAAGAGGAGGTAAAAAAAAACAAAAATGAAGGAAAAGAAGAAGATGGAAAGACACACTCATGGAAGGAAGGGAATTAATCTTATAAAGGCATTTGAGAAAATATATCAACTCATTTACCTTAAATACAGCACATATTTGTGTTATCTAGCTATTGGTACTTAAACTAACTAACAGCATCAAGACTTCTTACCCACGCAGTTGGTGATTATCATTCCATGACAAAAACAAGTTTTACAGTGTATGTGAAGCTAGTTTAAAAGCTGAATTTTCAGTGTCACCCTGCCCTGATTCCTGCAATACCTTGAGCATAGAAAGTAACAAATAAAAATACTCACTGGACTCTTGTTGTTTGTAGGTCCACCCCTGAGTAATCTTTAAGACTAGGATTGGCTGTGAAAAATTGAAGCATATAATTCAGATGCACCCTAATAAGACATTTTTTAATAATGGAAAAGTATTTGTTGACCTTCAATCCCTGTCAGGAGGGACATGGAATGGCCACTTATTACACAACTCACCAACAAAGTTGTCCACCTTTCCATAATGAACTTGAAGTACAAGATAATTGCCACCCACTTCAAAGGCAACATCTACAAAATCAACAACAATAATTTTTTAAGCCTACAGTAGTTGTATGACTTTTAACAAAAAAATTAACCCTTAAACCCCTAAGTGATTGAAGGTTTAATTATTAATATTGCTCTCCCAACAATATCACCCCTAAGTCTAACATTTAGGTCATGAGGAAATTATCACCAACTAAACAAGCTCTTGATTGTTAAACAAATTCACCTTGTCACCTGGTTGCCAAACCTTTGAACAGGAGTGAGGCTAAACATACAAACCTTGCTGCTTTTCAAATGCAAATTACTTTGTTATCATGCTAACTAGATGCTGGTCTCTATCACAACCAGGTCACCTTCAGCCTCAAATCAAAGGCTTGGCAACTAAGTACACAACTGTAAAATGGCCTATTGCCTGCAAAAAAACTATTGCAAGCTTACATGTAACAGCTACATTTTTCAATGCATTTTCTCAAAGAAAAATAGATAGTTGACACACTGGACATTGCTGCTTGATTAGAAGGTAAAGAGATTTTCCTGTGTTAAATAACTATGCAAAGGTCATTTTGGGATACTTAAGTAGAGGTATGCCTTTGGCATGGTGAGTGATGACTTCCCTCCCACTTTGTGTTTCAAAATGCTCCACCACCCATATGAAGATCTCATCAATGTTCACAATGATGAGGATGATGATGATGACTACAGTAACAACTTATTTTCCTGCCTTACCCTTTGGAAGCTTCAACACAGGAGCATTTCTTCCCCAAGCATACAATATTCTCTCTCCACTGCCTTTACATACACCAGATCCCATATCCCCACAGTTCCTAAAACAAAAACAACTTACCTGTAAGTAAGTAAATATTAATGCATTCATTCAATCAATAATCAACATTCATCTATTGTTGACAGCCTGTTCTGCAATATCGCTGCACTATTCATTGCAACATTGAAACATTGAACTAAGTTTTCTTTAAAGAATATAAATAGACTGCTGCATAAAATATTTACTTATTTATTTATCTATTAATTAATGTTCAATTAGTTTAATTTGCACAACAACATTTTTCACTTAATATGACTTAAACAAAGAGCAAGAACTTCAAAACATTTTTAATTAATCAATTCTCATGCAAAAGCTCTTCTTGTCAGATTGGTGATGTGAGAAAAAGTAATTGGGCTAAATAAATCGTCCAAACAGGGTTATTTTATCAGAATCAGAGTGTTCATGGGAACAAAAAAAAAATCTTTCAATCAATGTTCTCTCCTATGATGAAAGTCATGTGTCATTAATTTACTAAATTTTGGCTGTAGGAATTTTTATTCCCTGTAGCATATCAACATTTGAGTAATACTTTTCTTTGACATACCAATATTTCCCTTCACTTGCTAAAGCATTTTCCCCTGGTGTTGGACATCCAAACAATAACATGTGATGTGCTGTGTGCATTTCAGCATGAGGTTCAAACCCAGCTGAAATGAATTATAAAAAAAGCTGTTGCTTGAATTGTTGCTCAGCTATGAACAAAGGTGTTTATAATTACATGGTTGCACAACTACGTTCTAACACTACAAGATTGTAACCCATGCACAGTTGACATAAGAGTTATATGCTTGTCTGCTAACTGCTCCCTGTTAGAGTTACATTCCTTTAGCTGTGGTATCATCCTCCAACATTACAGCACTTCTTATTTATAACCAAATGCCCAATTTCCTGTCTTTTGTATTCATCCACAACAACTGATAAAGCACCAATACTGTTTTGGAACTTGGAAACTCATATTAAGAGTTTTCAATTTGAATCTCACATTTTGTTTCTGCTTAATTTCTTTTCATCAAATAATTGGTCTTGGTTATACAAAAGTAAAATTTATAGGAAACATATTACCTATGTATGCTTTCTTGTTCCTAAGATCCACAGCAGTACAAAGGTAGGAATCATGCTGTAAAGTAATTGAATTGTATGTATTGAACTCTAAAACTGCAGCTTCTGTTGCATTTACTGAGGGATTGAATGATTGATAAACATCTCTATAAAATGATTCATTCTGGTAAATTCAAGAATTTACCAGAAAAATTAAAATTGATCAATTCACATCTCTGGGAAGGAATAATCTCTTTTATCTCTAGGAGAACACCATCCATTTATAAAAATGATTTTTCGTAAAAGGCACAAATTCAACCTATGTAAATGTCACAGAAGTTGAACTGGTAAAGACTCGCATAAAGTTATTGATATGATATGTAAAATAATATGTATAACTTTGGTGAAATTTGTGTAGGGCTTTTCCACCAAATAAAGCAAGCAAACATGATGTTATACAGTTCCTTCGCTTTTAGCCAGTATTTTAGTTATTGTGATCTCCGATTGCATGACGGAAGTATAAAATTTTAATTGTGTTTTCGATTGCTAGTCACTTTTTCAAATGCAGAGATGAAATTCGCTGGATTTTTTAAACAAAAATAAACCATTCATTCGAATTCACTGTTTATCAAACGTATTTAACTTGTATATATTTTTTTCTCTTTCCATTTGTGGATCAAGTGGGTTCGAAAAATAAAAAGAATCGCCCACCCAAGAATTAACAAAGGGAAACAGCTGTTCGGAAAATTATTATGCAAATCGAGTGGAATATAATTGACATCACATAAAAAGCTTAGCTTATCAATATGCCTGTGGCTGACTGTCAAATTCGTTGGACAAACATCTCCTCAATTTTAATATTCCCCTTGTTGAAATTCAAACCATTAGGTTAAAATGGAGAAACTGTTGTACTCACATACATCGAAGCTTCAAATAGTTCTCTATTAAGCTTTTGCGTACGATTTGCACTTTCGAGCAACTAAATTTGGCACACAAACATGAATAAAACTTCGAAACACGATCTTGACGTTTACAAAACCCTTTGACCCTATGATTTCCTCTTTAGGTTCTCCTATAAAATCAGAGAAAATTTCAGGCGAAAAAACGTGTGGAAAGCTCTGGATTTACTTTCCTACGAGTATAATGAGGCGGAATATGTAAAAAAATAATTAGCCGCCCATCGAAACCAGTTGATTAGGAATAACTGAACTGTGGAAGAACAGAGGCGGTCGGGTGAGTCGATAAAAAAACTGGGGATAGATTGATCTCTTCTTCCCGAAAGATAAATCTTTCGCGCTCGTTTTCAACTATGTTATGTTATACAAAAATATTTATACGTTTTTCGAATATAATTCCCACATATATAAGCTCGAAGAGCTGAAAAAATTATCTGTAAAAGGGATACTTAAAGAAAGTACTGCTAACCTTAGTTGGATGAACACCAGGCATAACGAGTTTCACAATTCCTGAAGACTTGCCGTCACTTTGTTGCTTTTTGACAGAAGATCTTTGGTACAGGTTATCGTAATAACTTCTCAACTGTTCATCGTAGTCTCCGTAGGAGATGGACATCGTTATAAACGAAACGGTCCACAAGAAAACAGAGGCGAAACTCCCGATCATGTTGATCTTGAAGAACAGGGATTCAAAAATTACAACCGTTCGATTCCGTTCGTAACTACCGTACAACACCGTAGAATCCAACAGCGCGTTATATTCCCTTGATGTCTCACAACATATCTTCTTCTAATATGAAAAGAGAAACAGAGCAATTCTCTGTTTATTAATTTGTGATCAACGAAACACCCGCCAATGTACCCCCTTCTTTCTTTGTTAGTTATGTATGCGATCTCTCATCGCGAAGTGATGTAGTGAAGCGGAAAAAATATTTAACAGACAGACCTGTGATTGGTCCATTGTTCAAGATTTTTCACCTGTAACAGATGATGAGCGCGATAATCAGCTTGCTTGGGAAATATCGAAGTGTTTTGATCGCAGTAAAATATCACAATTATGGTTTCTTCGTTGGAATTTGAAATCAAAACTCTTTAAAAAAGAAATTATTGAAATTGTTTGGGTTTCTGACCCTCCTAGATACGACGCATAGCAAACCAGTGACAAATAGTATTTTTCTTAGGCGTTGATTCCATTGTGTCTCAAACAACATTGATTCTCTCATTGTTCCAATCCATTTTCGGCTTTTCATATAGTTTTAAATTTATTCGTGATTTTAAATTCGGCTTCCTGATAGATATTCTTCGAAGAAAAATTTTTGATAAAATGAAACTGTTTGAACTGATATATTCCCGTCGCAGCTAACAAAAATCCCTCTCTTTTATCCATATTTTGACATCCCAAAAGATGAAATAGTTTGAGCACTCAAAACCCATATCATAAGCCTCCTTTTTGTTTTATTCAATACCACTTGAACTATTTAAAGCATATAACTGCTTGTCAAGCATTTTGTACTATTCTATCGGTAGAATTTGTCTGTTTATAAAAACCATTTTTCCATAGCACGAATTTAAACTTTGATTAACACGAAATTAGCTTCCGATATTTTCATTGAATCCCTTCTAGCGTCAGCTAAATGTGTTTTCTGATCCCTGCGTGGTAGATCTCCATAGTTTCCTCAATACGTCGTCAGACGCCCACACACTCAGGATGTTAGGAAATCAGAGAATGAGAAAACGCTTGAATTTGAGGGGAATGTGAAGCAAAATGAGGATTGCTTTACCGAAAAAGGGCTCCATCATAACAAATACGTACATTTACGCCGGGAAAGGAAACCCCACGCGAACACGATAGTAAGATTTGGACCCTCATCAACGAAAGGGAACAAAATACTCGACAGAACCTAAAATATAAACTTCAAGTTTATTTAAAGAGGTTGCTGGTTAACGTCTGTTTATTCATTTCATAAGCGCGAGACAAAATTCTAACAACAGAGGCTAGTTTAATATCACTGCTGGAAAGCGTCTTCACGCAGGCAAGGTTGTTGTGATGAATTCGAACTGAATACGTAAATTACACTTATTATATTGCGCAAATGGCTTTCCAAGCGTAATTTTTCGTTCTTTTTCTAAGCTTGAAAACACCTTCCTGGAAAGTCACACTGCATGACAATTAACTGATCGACAATGAGGCATCATTTTTTTCTTTCTCCAGAACGAGGTATACATTATGACTACACGAAACTTGCTTTTTGGCAACCTTGCCGAAAAAATATGTAATGGATTCCAAATATCAAAAGTCATCATCAATATTAATCAATCAATATCAATAAATAAATCAATATCAATAATAAATCAATATTTAAAAGCATTCATTTGAAAATACATGATTTCCGAGACGGAATGTCTCATGAGGGGCCTTGCTCCACTTTTATTTTTCCATCAAGATCTGTCACTAGGTAGTTCATGGTTATTCCACTTTCATCCTAGCTGCCTGCAATCAAATATTGAAAAATTATACAAAAATTTAAAAAAAGTTAGTGCTCTCTGTACCACGACCATGGCATTGTTTCAGCAGTCTTGATCAAAAAAAAAAAGGTACAGCATGCACACTTTAGAGATGACATGAGGTGGAAAAAGAGAACGTTACTAGTTATTGAATATAAAACATTCCGTACAGTTCTTGAAGCTTGCAATGCAAAACGTTCTGCACATAACCTAAAACCTTCTGTGCCTCACCTGAAACGTCCTTTATGTTATTTTTGAAATTCTCTTAAAATTTTATAGGAGAACTTAAGAGGAAAAGACAGTGTCTAAGGGTTTTGTAAAAGTCAAGATCGTTTTTTGAAATTTATGCGCGTTTGTGCGCCAATAATTAAAATGTCCCATACACTCCCTCACACAAATAAAAAAATTGGCATATGATATCACTCAGAATAGGGGAAGTTTTTGAAAAAAATACACTTTTATCCCTCAGAGAATTACCCTTGAAAAGCATAATTCTTAACCATTCAAGTTAAATGTTGAAGGAACGTCTCATTAAGGTTAAAGAATTTGGAGTAGACCCAAAAGAGGGCTGTAGTTTATGACAGTGTTTTACGAGGTCATAACCAGAGCAGAAGTCTTCACCAGAGTGACCCAACTTTTGCTCAGTTTATCAAATTCAAGACTACCCTCATTCAGACACATCCCAACTTTGGAACAGAGTGCTCAAATTCACCAAGATTAAGATCTTACACTAAGTATCCTGGGTGTCATTTTTTTTTCTCGCAACTCGTGATAGACAATCTCACTCTAGAGAACCACTTACCCGTACTTTTACCAAGTTCATTTCATGGCCAATATAAATCGTTTGTTTGGTAGTAGCTTATCAGAATCTGCCGGGAAATCAAGGTTGCTTGGATCCAGAAGCTTACACAAATCCCTGGGATTGCTGGCTCCTTTAACTTGTTTTGGATCATACCAATACATTATGTAAAAATTACACATTTCATCGCTATGGGTTAATCTGGTAACAGAGATAGAGATTTGAATCTCTTAATTAGTCTGATGGCATAAATAACAACAAAGTGAAACGATCGATACATATGTGTCAGAAACTCTCTTTGGTGGCCAATACACATTATCAATTCAGTTAATAAAAACCAAAATTATTTTGTAATACCCTGCTGATGCAACATCACAGTTTCTTCAGAAATTTAATAATTCTCCTTTTATTCAAAGGAACACTACTGGTAGTCTGGTAAGATAATGGCTACATTGATATATAACAAGCATACCCTGAGTGTGTTACTCTGTTTCTCTGCATGGAATTGAAAGTGCAACGGGCAGCCTGTAAGTTAAGAGTATTAAATGCTTTAAACAAAGAGAAACAACAAATTTAGTCTATGATACAGGAGGTAAAAGCAAAAAATTCTTTGTTTGAAAGTGTGAAATGGGGGAGATGCATTGGAAAAAGGAAGAAATGAATAAAATTGAGAAGAAAATGAAAAACGAGAGTGTAAATATGCTTGCTGTGAAAGAACAGGGGAGATGACACAAAGGAGATTTGGAAAGCTAGTCAGTAAACATGAAAGTTGAGAAGGGTTATGCTGGTCAGGTGAGGAGATGGAAAAAACAAGGCAGGAAACTGAAAACATTGGGAAGGGTGAGATTTTTTTTTTTTTTGCAATAAGAAAACCACTGCTTACTATAGAGTCTCCACTTTTAATTTCCAATAGATTATCTACTGGGTAGAATGCCTGAAAAAACAAAACCATAAATGAGATTGCACTGAAACAAACCAATTTTTAACCCCTTTAATTCTGTTTTCTGTGTACAAGAATTTTAGAGGGGTCCCTTGATAGTGGATAAGCACTTACTCATCATGCAATGACAAATATCTTACAGGTGATGGGTAATTTTAATGAACTTTTAATTTCCATTTTTACTTTATTGAGAAAAATTATCACATTGCCAACTCCAGAATTAGGTAAGATGCTTGTTACATGTGAACCTAAAATGAGAGGAACTCCAATAATTTTTGAATTTTTTTCTATAACTTTCATCTATCTCCTCCTCTCCCCTATTGGGGGGTGGAAGGGAAAGAGAGAGGGGGAGGACTTCCAAATAACCTATTAGAGCGGAATTACTAGAGTTTTTCGGAGGTGTACCAACTATTCATTGTAGCTTAAGTAATGCACTTTCTTGCCAACATGTTATCTATGGCTCAGTGGCAAAGCATAATGGACCTTGTGATCTGAAGGTCTGGAATTTGAATCAATTCTATATGCCGAATTTGGATGATCTGTTTGTCCGACATAATTATAACTTTCTATAACATGAAGAAAGGGACAAAATATCGCCCATTGTGTCTAACACGGGCTGATTTTCAGTTTACAGAAAAAAACATCCAATTCCCAATAAATTCGTGTTTTTTCTGGGTGACAGTGAGAGTTATGTAGCTGCTGAAGCATATTTAACTTACCTGTGGTCGTTGTGGATCCATTTTTCCTATTTGAGTCCATTTCCCATCATGTATTCTGTAGCCAACCACTACCGTCCCTAGAGCAATTCCAGAATTGAACTCAACTGAGTGTGCAAACACGAGATCCAAACTTTATGCATTAAATCTTTTTAAACTTGAAAATTTGCTTTGAACCAGTTGGTTTCCTTTTTATACAAACACAAGTTTAAAAATTAAGAGGTTACTACACCAGTAAGTGGATTTAGGACCAAATGCAAGTATAAATATTGTTAACTCTGAAAACCCAAGTTAAAAAACTGGACCAAACACAGAAAACATCGCCAAAATATTTTTTAGAGACCAGAAAAGTGATTGATGAGAAACGGAAATCTTTATCAGCCACAAATTACAATGATTGAAAAAGTCCTTATGAAGGTCTCCATTTTTACGAATCTCCCTCAAGTGATTTTTGGAATGCTGAATTTGCCATGCAAACTTGTTCTATAAATTTTTCTCATTAATAATCAGTCATATGCCAATTCTTGATAAAAACATCTCTAGTAATTACTGCAACATATTTAAAAGTCATGCACCATTATTTTCAAAAAGACTATGTACCACAAAAGGTATATAGAAGAAGGAGTCTCTTATAAAGGAGTTCATTCTTTTTAACCCTCTGTTAGTACTATTAACCCTTCACACACTAATTTATCAGTATTTTCTGTACCATTCTCTATACATTTCCTAAGGTGCTGACAACAATCACTTCTTAACAACCAAAAGCTTTGGTGGTGGGTGATCACTTCCTTGATTCTCATGACCTTACTGTGTGATTCAGGGTGATATCGTGAGGAGAACTGAGATGCAAGTCTTACTTAGGGGTCATAGAGAAACAAATAAAAAATCTTAACCTAAGATGAAAAAAATGACTGAAAACTGATTACAGTCTAAATGTGATCAGTTCAGTGGAACTCACCAATGCCATGAGTGTGGACTCTAAATTTAAAAGGATGTAAGACTGGTCCATCATTGTATTGACACCCAATGTCAAAATGCCAAGCTGGATAAAGAAGAAACACAGTATAAAGTTATAAGACAGTTAGGGGCCGGAGTGACTTCAATGATTTTATTTTACCTTCCTTCTTTGGTGGAATGTCTCCAAATGGTTGTAGGAGAAATATGGCTGCCAGTTGACTTGGTCTTTGAAGGGAAAATGAGAAATAGAACTGTTAAAACTGAAACGTTGGGAACAGTAGTGTAACGAATCATTCTACTCTCTCATTCATTTTCAACAAATGAGGGTTTAAATTTTACTTGATTATTAGTATCCAGAACCTGCAGGAAGAGAATTAACTTAAAAACTGGAAACAGAATAAAAGAGCCAAGTCCTGACCCATGGCTTCAGAGATTAGGACTCCAGAGGTTAGCTTTAGGCAGTAATCATTTCAAACAAGTACTGATAGTAATTGCAGCAGCTGACTACAACCTTTTTTTTTTTTTAGGTAGAATAAGTGATCATCCTACACTTGATGCTTGCCTTATAGTGCAGCCTTAGGCAGGACGTTGTGAATTAATTTCATAGGTTGGTAACTTTTTCCATTTATGATGCAGTAGTAGGGGAGAAGGTCACAAAAAGTGGCTAAAAATGAATTGAAGGGGAAGACAGGAAAATTGCTTGATGATCTGATGAATGGGGAAAGAAATAAGGACAAGGGGAGATGGAAGGGAGATGGAAGGGAGAAGGGATGGGAAGAAATGCAGGAAGGAAAGGACAGGGAGGAATTAAGAAAATTAAAATTTTGTTTATTAATAAGTAGGTTTAATTGTCATTTAATTTTGTTATTGCTCAGATCAGAGTTGTTCAAAGCATGATACAGACCCATCAAACTCTTACATTATGATGGAAAGTGGTTTTGTGGTACACTGCTGCTACCTTATTTGTACTAATCAGGTTTGAACAATGCTCAAATTGTTGCAGAACCTCGAGGAACTGCATTCATTTGCAACTACTGGTACCCACCGTACTGACGTCACATGCACGTCCACCCCAGAGTAATCTTTCAGAGTAGGATCAGCTGTGGAGAGATTGAACAATCCACATTGTGTGTCAGATAAGGAGTGATTTTTTAACCATGAGCTCCATCCAAGCCCACAATATTTATCAACAAGTAGCTATCTGCTTTCCCTGAAATGGCAAGTTTCTTAGCCATAAATTTGATATGAAAAGGTTCATGAAAACAACCCTATAATCTAGAATACAAGATGGGGAAGCAAAATTGTAAAGTGACATAATTGGAAGTTATACACCTAAAGAAAAAATTTAGAAACTGACAAAACTTTTGTGTTAATTTGCCACTAGGAAGGACCTGGAAGGAACACCATTGACCAACCATGAAACTCACCTAAAAACTTGTCTGCACTTGCATAGTGAACTTCAAGTACAAGGTAACTGTTATCAGATTTACCACCCACTTCAAAGGCAGTGTCTAGAATATTAACAACAAATTCTCTAGCAGTGTTTGATGAAATTTAAAATGAAAAATGAGAAACTCTCTGACAACATTTAATTTTTGATTGCCACAACATTCTTTTGTCTCTGGCAGCCCATCTAATGCAATATGTCAGATCAAAGATATGTAACATGCAATTATTGTTGTATAGGAAGTTGATACTGAAGTGCCAGGTTAAGAAAGGCCCTATGTGACAGAGTAAAGTGGCATTAAGCATTCCTGATATTAAAAATGATGATAACAACAATAAAACAATTAATATGAAGGTGAATATTGGTATACTGTACCAGGTGGTAAGTCCAGCTCTGGAGCATTTCTTCCCCAAGCATACAATATATTTGCATCAGAACCCTTGCAATAATTGGATCCCATTTCTCCACATACCCTGAAAAAAAGAAGATTAAATATTACTTACTTATTTCGTATACTTAATTAACATATACTTGTTGTGGTTAGTATTAAGTTATTTTTGTATTTGTCTCAGGACATTTACAGCGAACAAGAAGACACGAAGCCAAAAAATATTTTTACCTCCACTGGCACTTTGCTTACTTTGTCACCATTAGCAACATTTTTCTTTTTATCATATAAAATAAATTGATTCTTTGCATGCTGCCGTGGGTCTGTAGAGTCTGTAATGGATCACTCTAGATATCACTCTTGGCTGCACTTTGTGTGCAACCTTTTTGTTCTTACCACATTTTGACCTCATTTGTGATCTATTACTGAACAGATGCAAAGCAATGTTGAATATATTTGTTAATTTTATAATAATTATCTTCAATAAGATCAGTAGCTGCAATGGTAAAACCTACTTACTGGTAACCAAGTTTTTCTTTGCTGTATAATTAAAAGCCACATGCAAAATACTTAAGTTACATTATAGGAGCATTATTGACTGGATCCTTTCCTTTGATTAGGTGATGGACAAAACACTGACCCCTAATCCATGGACTATCCTGATTGACTAGACAAATGGACGACCTGAAAATGGAATAACCCTAAAAAGTCCTACCTTGAATGACTGACCCCATTCCATGTACTATCTTGATGGGCTACCCAAATGGACAACCCCAAAATACATTAGACCTACAAAATCCTACTTTGAATCAGTTCTATTGAAAGCACTGCTATTTATAAACTTAAATTGCATGCTCCTTCTTTATTTTCTTCAGTTGATGCAATAAATTTCTCAAATACAACTGGATTTTGAGTTATGGGTCACATTTTGTCCATCACCCTTTTAAATAGCATACCAATATTCTCCATCACTTGCAAAAGCATGTTTTGCTGGCTTAGGGCATCCAAATACCATCAAATGGTGGGCTGTGTTCATGTTAACTAGAGGTTTGATTGCAACTGAAATGGATGACAAACATTGACACATTTGTGGTTGTTCACCATAGTATAATGATGTGTAATTTTTGAATAATTATTAGTTCATTTTGATGTTAAGTCAAATATGTTTTTCTTTTGAAAAGTAACAAAAGGGGACTGCATGATCTACTGTGATATTGTAAAATATTGTATCTCTGTGATGAATTTTCTTCTTTTCAGAAGATTTAAATTGAAGCTCTGTTAGCCATAATGTTATCTACTGTAAAACACCCTACCAATATAGTCTTTCTTTTTATGCAGATCCACAGCAGTACAGAGGTATGTGTCTTCCTGCAATATGTGACATTTTGTGCTCAACATATTTTGACAGTTATATATGATGCATACACTGTGGTTGACAAAGTTGAAACAATATTGAAAAGCTATAACATGAAAAAAAAATTATCCACCTGCAGCATGTTATTGATGTCTCTTTTAAAGTTGGTTGCTGATTTGTTAAGAGTAATATTCTTTGAAGAACATTTTGGTGAGTGACAAGCCAGGTACCAATTTAGATGAGAGCAGGAAAAAAATGTATGCTGGTAGTTCTGAACATTTTTGGGGGGAAGGGGGATGGTGGTGGAAGTGATAGCAAAATAATGTGTATTCATTATAATCAGTATGCAAAAAGAATATCATTTTAGATAAACAAACATATTTAGCTAAGGCAGCTCTTAAGGGATCCATCAAAGCTTAGACTCAAGGAGTCTGTTTTTATTAGAAGAGCTCTCTCTCTCTCTCTCTCTCTCTCTCTCTGTAAGGGATGTGGAGGAAAAGAGCGCTTGAATGCTGTGGTAAGATCGAGAGGGGGCTAAGAAAACAGTAAAGTATGCGTGACAGACAGTTTCTCATCTGATGTCTCGTCCTATTCCCCTCTCGTCCAAACAACCCCTCCGATTCTGTGACCCGTATCTCGATAAAAAACACAAAAGATACTATTGCTTTAAAATTCAACTTTCGTGGAAAGATTATTTAGAAACACCTAGATAACGTTGTCGATGAAATATAGGGATGTGTGTTAATCTTGTCAGCAAAAGAGTGATGATGTTTTCCAAGCATGTAATAAACGCAAACGCTTAATTGGGATGAAACTTATATAAAAATTATATAACGACTATTGGCCCAATTATTAATTTCTATCGTAACACCCAAACCATGAATAGAGAATACCCTCTTTACCTTCGTCGGGTGAACACCTGGCATTGCGAGCTTCACAATTTCTGATGAATCATCTCTGCTTTGCCACTTTTCAGGGCGAGATCTATGGGGCAGGATGTCGTTGAAATCCCTAAACTGTTCTTCATCGTCTTCATATGCAATGCACATCGTTACGCACAAAATTGCCACCACGAAATTTGGGGCAAATGTTCTGCTCATGATAACGAATTCGTTGAGTTGAGTATCAAGAAATACTATAATTCGGCTGAATCACTGCAGATAAAATTTACGGTAATACGAGCTGCGAAAACGATATAAGCAGTGACGCCTGGCGTGAGTCTTGGCTTGAGGGACTGACGCAGCGGGTGCTTTTGTCATGCAAACAACATCGATTTAACGAACCTCTAAAAACGAAGTCCTCAGTTCAACGAACAATACTCGGTAAAATTTCCACACAGCCCCATACTATTGTAAAACAAATCTGTTTTCCCAATGGTAATGTATTGTTTTTATCATTGTTTTCTCTGTCCAGGAACTGAATCGTAAGTACTAAAACAAGGAACGACCTAAAACCACCAAAAACCACCTACATGCTACAACCACCTACAACCATCTACAACCACCTCAAAAATTTTAACAACGACCTACAACCACCTCAAATACATCTACAGCCACTCGCAAACTAATAAAATTTCGTGATATGGTTGATTATACATGGGACCAGGGAGAGTAAAATTTCAGGGGGAGGTTGTAACGATAGGATTTTTAGTGATTTTTAGTATCGAGTTCTTTCATGCTTACGCTCAAAAAAATACAATATTCCACGTAGAAAACTTAGTTCAGCAAAGCGTAAACGCTACCAATTCTCCTTTAAACACGTAAACAGTTGTTATTAGTGTTAAACTGTAACAGCAACCTGTCATGTCCTTTTGTGTAACTGTTATCCACCGGAACTCTTTAAAGTAATTAATGTTGTAAAAGGCGAAATTCCTACTTAGCCAATAGTGTAGTAGATTACATGATCCTGTAGATTATTCATGGCATTACGTTATCAATGTACGTTAGGTTTAAATAGGACTGTTCTGTAAAGCTTAGCGGTGAGAAAGTTAGGAAGAGAACGGGGTCGAACCAGCCCTGGCCAGGTCCGTTCTGGTCAAAATTGTAGTAGAGCTTGCAGAATAAATCTACGTTGGAGCCAACCCTGTTGTCGTTAGTCATTCTCTCAAGGATAGTCAGCAACCGTAATAGATTCCGGTTACCTCCCCGCAGCCAGCGAGTGCCCCCAAGGAAAGCCTTTACCCAGAAGAGTTTTTAAGAGTTGTCCCCGTCCGTCCGTTCATTTGTGAAGGCAAAACCCTGTTTTCACACTGGTAGAGGAGAGCGGCAATTACGGAAAGACTATCAGAGAGAGAAGTGCTTCACGAAGAGTTGGTTTGACCCCTTGGAGCGAACAAGAAAGAAGACGCCCAAGTAAGTGGAATTACATGGCAAAAAGAAAAGAGAAAAAAAAAAAACACAACAAAAACGAAACAAGAGAGAGAGACCGTTACCCATTTCATGTCGAGGTTTTTCAGAAAGAAAACAAACCCATATAATTTGAGAAGTAAAGGAAAATTACGTGGGAAAAACACGCCACCTACGAGAGTGGACGCCTGTGTTGAGACCGATTTACCATTCGACGAAAGTGACATAGCCCCGGAAGTAAGACAGGGATCGACCGCCGAAAAATACACTGATTCTGAGACATTAGAAAACCATCAAAGAGACTCTGACAAGTTTAACAAGACCAACTTGGAACTTGTAGATATCAGCGAAGTTTCTACTAGCGAAGACAGTTCTGACAGTTTGGCGCCACCGTGCCCTGGTAATACTCAGGATACTGAGGAAATAAACACTTTAACAGAAGAAATAGACATTTTCCAGGAAGAGGAAAATTTTACAGATACCGCCCTTGCGACAGGTGGACAACAGGTACCAGAGAGTACATTACACCTCGTTGATCATACGTCATTCACGCCACCTGGTACAACTTCCGTAGTGAATAACAGTACAACTTCTGGTGGACAACAGTTGCCAATTATTACTTCACCTGGCGACATTTACGAACATTTCCAGCGTGGTGGTTACGAGGGAGGATTACTGTGTGAGGACTCTCCCAACGCTGATTTGAGTCCCTTACTCGTAAACCTTACTGACGCTGATACCAGTTCGATTACCTTTAGCAGCACTGATAGCTCAATTTCAACTACCATGGAGGGAGAATACATCCGTGCCCTTCAGGAACTCACTCAGAAATTATTGAGTAGGGATGTTCACATTAATAAATATCACGGATATGAAAACGAGGACATAAACCGCTGGTTTGAGAAACTAGAGTTGGTTTTGGAGTCTAAGGGAATTCCACTGGATGTTCCAGCCGCCAGAACACAGCTCATTAATAACCTCGCTGGGCCAGCTGAAACATTTATGTCTGAATTACCGCCTGAGGAGCGAGGAAGTTTTATGCTTTTAAAACAGGCCCTGGTGAAACGTTATTCGACTAAGGACCGTGCTTGGGTTAAGCGACGGAGGCTAGTTGCTCGCCGTCAAGGCCCCCACGAATTATTGTCAGATTATATCAATGACATGCACGAACTATTTAGCGGGCTAAACATGGCCGAGGTAGACAAAGTCACGTATTTCACTGAGGGTCTAACCCAACCACTAAAAATTAAAGTGCTCGAGCGAATGCCAGAAACACTTTTACAAGCAGAGGAAGTGGCTAGGACCGTTAATTCGATATCTCAACGTGAGAATACCACTAAAGAGGGTGACCAGATCGAGCGATTGATCGAGGCGCTCAACCGTAGCCAGCAGGTACCAGCTCAAGTACCATCTAATAGTGCCCGTAATACCCTTCAGCCTCAACTTGTTCAAGCTCATCTTGAGAAATTGACTCAAGGACTGGACGGCCTGACACCTACAACCACACACAAGGTTGCCGCGTGTTCAGAGCCCCAAGGGAACTATGAACGAAAACTGGACGAGCTTACGAGCCTTATGCAGCGTATGGAGGGTCAGTTACAAGACCAAATTAAAACCCTAGATCGACGATTTGACGCACGCATAAATGGTCTAGCGCAACGCAGACAAGGTACTCGGGGTAACCGAGAAAGATCAAGAGATGGGAGACCAGTATGTTATCGCTGCGGAATGATGGGACACTTTCAGAACAGTTGCCCTCAAAGAGATACTGACCAGCGTCAACTGGTACCCAGGTACCCAAACACCGCCCCTAACAACAATGTGCGTTATTCCGCTGGTCCACAGTCACGCTTGAGAGCGCTGCCTTCGGCGCAGAATCAGAACCGTGTTGCTGTTCTGGGAAATGACGGCGTTGCTCCTTCGGGACATTACATGATAGATGCCACGCCAACCAGAGCCCCGAATCTGCACACCGAAGAGCCCTTTTACCATGAGCCTTATAATGGAATGAGTTATAACTATGGCTACTATGCTGACGATCTAGAAAATGATGAAGTGGATGAATGGGATTACGATGATGAACATTACAACGCCGATCTAGCTTACGATGGAGTAGGTGACTTTGATACAGCACCATATGCCGAAGACACAGTGCCACCCTCCAGTATCTCGTCCATACGGAGAGAGTCCCCCCATACCTCAGCAACTCACCAGTTTCAGCCATACTTCGCCCAGTTTGCGCAACGAGGGCCCCAGTCATTGCCAAGAGAGGAAATCGCTGGCCACCTAGACTCAGATCCTTGCAAGTCATCTCCTGTAACTGCCACTAGTTTCCAGTTAGAGACAGAATGTAAATTAGAAAATGGGTTTCCGAAGGAAGATTTCACGCCACCTCCCAAATCGGAAACTGCGCCCCAGTTGGCCGACCGTTTTGAGCCACCCAGTAGTGTGCAAGAAGGCCCACGCCCTAGAGATATCTTGTCACAGACGACAGAAATGCCATTACAAGATTTTCCAGCCTCTTATGATGTCCCCACAGAAATCCAGATGTTGCAGAAAATGTGTATGAAGCGACTCGCCCAGATCATCGAAAAATGACTGAAGGCAAGGGCACATCAAGCATTGACGTCAAAAAGGAGGTACCATCCACTCCGAATCGCCATATCGCCAGTAGCCCGAAGCTAGCGCCGGCCTGTCAACCAGCTATAGGGACTACACCAGAGTACCAGTCCCTTCCTACTAGCCCTGGCAGTGGTGACATTACGAGCACACCCCAGAAGAAATTGGCTGCCAACTCCACCCAGAGGGACAAACCCGGAGAACTTATGGTCGAGGTGGGCATTAATGGTAAAACAATGCGTTGTCTAGTGGATACTGGAGCAGCCATATCTGTGCTAGATGCAAAGCACCTCGCAGACTTATATGACGGGAAAATACCACCCCTAAAGCTAAGCGCCATGGACTCAATTCGAACTGTTAGTTAGTGGTCAGCCTATGCCTATTCGGGGAGTCCTACAGACTGACATCGAAATTGCTGGTGGTCAATATCCTTGTCACTTCAAAGTGATAGACGGATTGGACTACAAAGGAGTCCTTGGCCGAGATTTCTGCTATGCCCAACAGGCACAAATCAGTTTTGAAACTGTAACAATTGCCTTGAAGAATCCCCCGACAGTACTCTTTTCGGACGCTTTAGTGGCAGTGGTAGCACCGTCAACGTACGTTATTCCGCCCAGAAGTGAAGTAGTGTTTCCAGCTAGTATACCCGAAAAGACCGCACCTGGTGTTACCGGTCTCGTAGAAACCTCTCCACAAATGGCAGAGCGTTACCAGCTACAGGGAGCAGCTGCTTTGGTAAGGATTGCAGATGATCACACTGTGCTGTTCCGTCTCATTAACCCGACAAGTCAACCAGTTACTCTGCAAAAAGGTGCTACCTTGGGCACTTTTTCCGAAGCCTACGGAGATTCCGGAGTACTCCCTTTTAAAGAACCTGCTACGGATCAACCGAATCCAGGAACATTGGACTCAGTACCGGTTGATCTGGATAATTCTGCACTGCACTCCCAAAGCCTAATATAACATGTGACCCCGTGCAAGCGGCGTTTTATGCAAACATTCTCGACTCAGTCACTAGCCTCCGCCGCAGTGCAGGGAGTAACTAATCTTTTGGAATGCGACAGTTTCCTACGCCGTTTCTATGTTTACTCCACCGGAATCCCCTCGCGGATGTTTTGTCCTACACGACATTACGCCAGTAGTTTGCAGGAATGCAAATCATGGGCACGTGCTACCTGCCGCGTGTCGGCACCCGATGAACTCGCGTGGCTACGGTCATATGGGAGTTTTTGGCT